GCCCCCCCTTGCTCATCAATCCCAGGGGTCCCAACGATCTGGGGGAGGGGGGACGACCCCAAACCCCTGCCTGGCCCCCCGCAGGGACCCCCAACCCTCTCTGAGAGTCCCGGGGGGGGTCTCAGGGTACCTGTGGTGCTGGGGGGCACGGCTCCCCCAAAGGCAGCGCTGCCTCCGAAGGCATCGAAACCGGGCAAGGCAGACCGGGCTGGGGAGGGGGTCACTCGGGGGTCACCCAGAGACCCCCGTGCTCCGCGCCCACGCCCCCTCCCCACCGTCGGAGCCCCCGGCTCACCGGGGGAGGCGGCGAAGGCGGGGGCAGGGCGGGCGAAGGGGTCCCCCCCGATGTCGGCCAGCAGGTCAGTGCCGGCCTTCGGCGCCGGCGGGGCAGGGGGCTGGGGGGGCACCGCGGGGTCAGGGGGTGCCGTCCCCCCGGGCACCCCCACCTGTGCCAGCGTCGCTGCGTCCCCGGGGAGGAGCTGGGGGGGCCCGGGCTCGGCCGCGGGGCTTCGGGGGGGTTTCACCCGGGCTTCGCCTTGTTCTGGCGCCACGTACCTGCCACGGGAGGGCAAAATGGCGGCTCAGGGGGGGGGCTCAGCCGTGCTGCCCCCCCATCGAGGCCCCCCAGCCCCTCTGCTACCATCGCTTCTTCTCGTACTTCTCCCGCAGGAACTCCTTCACTTTCTGGGGGTCGCGGGGGTCGGGCGGCGGCGACGCGCGGGGGTCGAAGGTGCCGAGCCAGACCCTCCTGCAGGCCTGGGGGGGGTCGGGAGGGGCCGTGGGGATGGGGGCAGGGTGGGACGGAGAGGGCAGGGCCCCCCCAGGGCCGCGGCCTCACCTCATTGCCGCGCGCCCGCAGGAACAGCACCTCGGCCTCGCTGAACGTCGTCATGGAGATGGACTTGACGCGGTGCGGGGGGTTCAGTCCCCGCCTGCGTGGGGATCCGGGGGGTCAGCGGCCCCCCCTGCGCCCGTAAACACCCAAAATTCTGCTTTTTTCTCTCAAAAAACAACCCCAGCATGGGAAGCCACGTGCCGCGGCCACGCCCCCTGCTGCAGAGCCCCGCCCCCAAAGGGAGAGGAAATGAATGACAGCTTGACGCGGTGAGCCCCGCCCACCGCGCGCAGGTGTAAATTAGCCCCGCCCCGGCCCCGCCCTCACCCCCTCGGCCCCGCCCCGCTCACAGCGCCCCCGAGCAGCCGGTGCACACGAGGCTGCCCACGCTGATGTCCACGTAGGTGACGCCGCGCTGGCCGCACTCGAAGCAGAGCCGGTTGGCGGGAACCGCGCTCACCAGCTCCCGCACCCGCCGGCACCAAACCTCGGCCTCCGCGTCCCGGCCCGCGCTGCCCCTGCGGGCCCCGGGGCCTCCGCCGGGCCCCGCTCCCCCGCGTCCCGGCCCGCGCTGCCCCTGCGGGCCCCGGGGCCTCCGCCGGGCATGTCCCCAATGTCCCCCCGGTGTCCCTGCTGTCCCCCCCCGCGTCCCGGCCCGCGCTGCCCCTGCGGGCCCCGGGGCCTCCGCCGGGCATGTCCCCAATGTCCCCCCGGTGTCCCTGCTGTCCCCCCGGTGTCCCCGTACCTCAGCATTTGGCTCAGTGAGTCGAACAGGCAGTTGAGCACGGCCGTGAGCATCAGCTGGGGACAGACAGAGGGACAGAGAGAGGGACAGGGGGACAGCAGGGTCACACGGGGTCACACGAGGACAGGAGGGGACAGCAGGGTCACACGGGGTCACACGAGGACAGGAGGGGACAGCAGGGTCACACGGGGTCACACGGGGACAGGAGGGGACAGCAGGGTCACACGGGGTCACAGGCAGTGTCCCCTCTGCCACCGCAGGCTCCTCCACAGCCCTGGGTGTCCCTGTGCCCCCGCAGTGTCCCCCCTCTGTCCCCCCGCCAT